TTTCCTCCTTATCAAATGAAAATTTTCCACACAATCAGAAGAGTCTGAAAGATGCAGTAGTTCCATTCAACAGTAGATTTTCTCTGTATCTGATGAATTCTCTCCTTACAATTAAGTTGTCATAGCAATGCATTTTTAATAGTACAGATTCATATGCCAGTAATGTTCTGGAGACAGAGTTCTTGATAGTTTTTTAGTACTCAGATATGCTAAATTATAACTTCAGCAAATACACAAGTACTGGTCTATTTGCACTAGCAGAAGACCACGTGATCAGACTTAAAATAGGCTGAAGCATAATCTGACGTACCCAACTAACAGAAAGCTACATAAAACTTTGGGTGACTCAGCGTAAGAAAATAAAGGCAGATCCTACACCTGCTTTGGTTTAAATGTAAATTTTTAATGTTTAAAAAATCCTAAACAATTACACCTTACTAGGTAGAAAGAAAAGTTCTGGGTTTTTTTTCCAAAGGTGTTGCTTTCATATATTGGTACTTATATGGTACACCAGGCAGCCATGGAGAATAACCATTGATAATGGGAAATCACAGTACTTTGCTGAAGCTGTTTTAGTATGTCTTCCTCTCTGTATTTTTAACAGATCAATTAAATTACACATATTTATAAGGTTTCAAAATAACAGGAAATCATCCTCCAAGGGCTAGAACTTCACATCTTGGCTGTTTCCAAGGCACTGATAGCAAGTGTCAACATGCATGAGTCTGTGAGAGCAAGACGTGAATCATGAGCAAAGAAAATTGCCTGATATTTCATTTCTTTTCTAATTCAGAATGTGAAGAATAATGTGCATTATTTTTTAGTATCAGGCAAAATGTAAGTGAATCAAAGAAGCATGAATTTAAAAATGGTCTTAGCTTATTTTCTGTGGCTGAGAAAGAGGAAGAAAGTAGAAGAGAGTTTAAATTTTGAAGTGCTGGTTGAGAAGAGCATTGTGTAGCACATACCCTCTAAATGCTCCTTCAAAGGGCTGATGAAGGGGAAAGTACATTGTGAATGCAATAACTGACCTAATACGTCTTAATGAAGATGTGTATTGATTTGGTTATGAGGAATGCTTAGCCTCTAAATATATAAATGTAAAATGGTAATTGTTCACTCTGAAGTTTCTGACCTTCCCTGAATGATGTGAGAAACAAACCTGCTTAAGTCAGACTCTAGAAGCTTGCAAGGAAGTGAAAGGTGTGCAAGTACTATAAATTTAACATACACTAAATTTATCTCTTCCATATATATAGCCTAAGAGTAAAATTTATACCAAAAAAAAAAAGGTTTTTTGGACTGAAACACAGTGGAAATCTAACAATGGCAAAGATAAAGTTACTAAGGGAACTGTGGAGTGATGGAGGCAACAAAGGACCAAATGGCTAAGCAGAACTTTTGCTTCCCTCTCAGTTCCTGGTATATGCAATTTTCCTTAAGATCAAAGCTAATTCTACACTTTGAGTGCCTAGGTAAAGAAGTGGAATAGGAAAGCTGAAGCTGACATACAAAGACTTCACAGAAAATCAATATAGCAAGAAATATGAGAATATATGCACTAATAAGTGCTTTTACCCTTTCTTTAGAATGGATTGTACTTCAGTTAATAAATAAATAAATAACATTTTCCTTATCAGTTGTTAGCTTTCTCTTCTCTGAATTTCTGGCTGTTGCTGCTTTGTTCTTCAAAAAGTGCATCTTTAAAATTAATTGAAATTACACATTTAATGAAGGGATCAGGTGTCTTTAATGTAGTCTCAGACTTGTTGGACAACTGCTCCTTCCAATAAGGGCCCATCACCAGGGCAGTGCAGAAGATGCTGAACATGACTGGGGTTATTCATTTCACATTATCATGGTTTCTTCCACTAAGCCTCAGGTCTAGTGGGAGGCAGAGCTGGTCAGCATTTGGTCCGTATGTACAGGCATAATCTGCAGGTAGTGTGTTTTTAAAAAATTCCAAAGTAGCTGTAGTCAACCTAGTTAACTATCTGGGAAACACGGGCCACAGAAACATAGAATCACAAAATCATAGAATGGTTTTGTTGGAAAGGACCTTAAAGCTCATCTAGTTCCAACCCCCCTGCCATGGGCAGGGACACCTTCCACCAGACCAGGTTGCTCAAAGCCCCATCCAACCTGGCCTTGAACACTTCCAGGGATGGGGCATCCACAGCTTCTCTGGGCAACCTGTGCCACCGCCTCACCACCCTCACAGGGAAGAATTTCACTGGATACTGGAAAATGTGTGTGCTCATGGAGGAATGTGGTACTTATTTAGGCCATAAAGCATGTTAGACATGGAGTACACATAGAGTTAGGAATTGTGATCAGTCTATACTCAAACTCTGAAGACTTACAGCCTTGTAACTGGTAACAGTAGCATGCTGAGGGTAAGTGAAAGTTGCACAATTTTCCAGCTTTCTACTCTGTCTTTAATGAACACGGCCTCACTCACTTTATTGGATGCATTCCTAAGTATAAGAAATGAACTGTTGCTACAGGATACTTCTAATTTAGTTCTTTGCTGCTAGGTAAAAGTTCTGCAACATTTTGAATTAAATGTTTGACATAACTACTTCTCCAGAAAAAGAAAAAAAAAGCACATTGCATTATATTTCTGTTTTACTTGTGTTCATTTTCACACACTAAAATACTAAAATATCACTTCACAGCAGAGTTACTGTGGATGGACTCTGAAATTAGCTGTAAAGAGTGAGCTGTGGTGGGAGGCTAGAAGACAATAATACTCTAACTAGTAATATAATGCCCTTTGAACTTATCAGTTGCTTCATATAGAGCTCCTGAGATATCAGAACAAAAACCAACTATACTTGTTTTTCCACATGAATACCCACAGCAATGCAGATAGCATCAGGTGCGTACAGCTGTAATGCAAGTGTATTTATCTCTATACAACAATAGCACATGGGAGAGAGATAAACAGGGGGAAATCTTTAGCTGACTGTAACAAATATCTTTACAAATATGATTGCATTGTCTACATGGAAAGGGCATTTTTGAAGATCTGAAATTGGACAAGTAAGAAAGAAGGTAGTGTTGAGTGTTCCTAGGGGACTGGTACAAAAGAGAGTAGAGAGGAATATCTGGCTATTGCCTACTCTTACACTACAATGTAGGCTGACAAGGTAGCATAGCAAAAACCCTTTGTGCTGGTTTTGACTGGGATAGAGTTAATTTTCTTCAGACTAGCTGGCATAGGCTACGTTTTGGAGTTGTGCTGAAAACAGCATTGATAACACAGTAATGTTTTTGTTATTGTTGAGCACTGTCAAGGCCTTTTCTGCCTCTCACCCCACCCCACCAGCGAGAAGGCTGGCAGTGCACAAGGAGTTGGGAGGGGACGCAGCCAGGACAGCTGACCCCAGTGACCAAAGGAATATCCCATATCATATGACGTTATGCTCAGCAAATAAAAGCTGGAGGAAGAAGAAGGAAGAGGGGGACATTCAGTGTTATGCCATTTGTCTTCCCAAGTCACCGTTACGTACGATGGAGCCCTGTTTTCCTGGAGATCGCTGAACACCTGCCTGCCAGTGGGGAGTGGTGAATGAATTCCTTGTTTTGATTTGCTTATGTGCATGGCTTTTGCTTTACCTATTAAACTGTCTTTATCCCAATCCACAAGTTTTTTCACTGTCACCCCTACAATTCTCTCCCCCATCCCGCCAGAGGGCAGTGAACGAGCAGCTGGGTGGGGCTTAGTTGCCAGCTGGGGTTAAACCATCACAACCTTCCATACAAAAATCAGCCCAGTGTTATGAAAATGTTATTGCCAGGTTCTGAGTGAGCTTCCTCTTTTGATTGCCTTGGAAAAAGGATAAAGGGAGAATCACAATCTACATTGTTGCCGCTCCGGTAAATACAATAGACTAGTCCCTCATCATTGCTCCCCTTCACTTCCCATTGTATGAGAAAAACAGCTTCTCTGCCTGCCTGGAGCTCTGCCTACTTCTCTTCTTATCATGACGCAGAATAATTTCATCTGACCTCAGATATAAAATGGTACTAGATAACCACATGTTCCGAGTGCTTGGTTCTTCCTTATGATTATTTATCAAATGCAAGCCATATAGGTAAAGTAGTGGTAAATAAGTGTTATATGTAATATTTTCCCTTTCCCTAGTTTAAAGTCCAAGACACATAGAGAGTCAGCCTAAAGATGACCAAGAGTCAAAGTTTGCAACTAATTTTAAGTTTGCACATTAACTATTGAGCAAGTCCTTTCCCAAGGTACTTAAACCAAAAAATGCTACACCAAACCTTGTCCTGGATCATAATTTTGAAGCTGTAACACAAGTTGTCACTTTGAGTGTCAACTGAGATGAGACAAATGTGTGTCTGACTTGATTCAGCAGTGATTTTTATAGAAAGGGAAATATGCTTTGGTTAATGTGGAAGTTGCTATCAGAAACAGTGAGCTGTTCGTTAAAAAGGAGAAAATCAGCAGGCAATGCTTTTCTCTTGGGCCTACAAAGCAGAATTATATCATTCATAAAAAGGGACCCTACAATGCTGTATTCATTTATTGGATAATTATGACTTTGACTCAGTGATTCTCCTATACTTTGCTATCCCAGTAATAAAAATGGCCAGGTTGACATTATACTTGTGCTGTTATTAAGCTAGCCATCCTATTACCTGTACTTTTTAGGAAGATGTAACAGTTAACCTTGAATACTTCATTCTGTAACACAGACTGCCTCTCAGGCAAGTTTAAAAAAATAGTTTCAGATACCATAGATCTCAGTATTGTATTGGTATGTAACAGTAACGCACAGCAGCAAACTAATGTCAAACAGTAAAATGGTGAATAGGTGCATTCTAGCCAAAAGAAAAGTGAAAAAGAAGGAAAAAGGCTAGATATTTTAAACAACTTATTTGTTACTGTAGCCTAAGGCTTTTTCCTGATTCTTTTCAAGCTGCACTCAAAATTACATGAAATATTTAAAATGTGAACAGGCAAGTTTACTTACTGTTTCCTGGATGCCAGCGCACTGCATTTAAATATGCATTACAGTAATGGAAGAGGAATTCATGCTTGGATCTGTTAACTTTTCCTTGAAGTAGGGGCATCAGATCATGTCCATCAATAATTCTGAGTAAGAAAGCATTTAAAAATCAGAAGAATAACCCATACTTCACTTTACTGAGATGATATCGTAACTCTGCACTTCCACTACTTAAAAAAAAAAAAATAAAAATCTGAATGGCCACTTCCAGTTGGTCAATTCGAAGAAAAACCTCCAGGTGTTCTTCCCCTTTGATTTTGACATCATGTAAGGAAACCTTAATTTTACATTTTGCCATTAGGAATGGTTGTTTCCTCAACCCATTTTTATCTTCTTTTTTTTTTTTTTCCTGAGAAAGCAACCAGACATATGTGAATAAATTGCTACAACATGGTCCTCCAGGTATACCTGCTCAAGCTATTTAGGACTAGTCTGGCCAAAGTAACCCTAAACCAAGAGAAATATATGCTGTGCTGTGTTAGCATCCCTGGAAGTAATCATCAGAACTCTGTCCAGAAAATTATGTATGCCAGAATTTAAGACAGAAGTAGTAATTTCAAAGTTGAAAATGAACTAAGTTTAAATATATGTTTATCAACTACATGCACACATACATACAGAGCTACATATTTATATAAATTCTCTAAATGCCGCTGGACAATTTTGATCATGCTTTCAAGGAGTCAGTCAATTTACATCAAAATAGAGTTATAAAATAAGAAAGGCGTTGAAATGTTTCCATAAATTAAGCCTTTGAATTGCTGGAATCAGTTGGCAGGGGAGAAATCACAATCTGCATTTTTGACCTGGTGTGACTTTAAAATATTTCAAGAAGTTTTATAGGAAATTATGTTTTGCTGATATCCAGATCAGCAGGTAATTCTTTTAGAAACATTTTGAGCAACTTCTCATAAAAACTTTTCTGAAACTTTAAAAATGTTTATGTTAATTTTCATTACCATATAAAACCATTTCCACGTCACTGTAACTACTACAAGACAGGTATTAACTTCACTTTTTAAAGCCATGAGCTACGTATGATTATGAAATTCTTGACATCTGTTGTGTGCAACAGTACCATTCTGAGTAGGACTCTTCTCAAACGATGGGCAGGAAAACATCCTGGAATTCCTAAGGCTATGCCGTCTGATAATTCTGCTTTCTGGGTCCATCCCTGTCTGTGGGGGTCTGTTGAACTAGAGTCATTCCCACTTTAAATTTGTCATGTTTTCTTGCCTGAGTAATGCACTCTTGTCTCGCCCCTGCAGGCTTGCTGACCATCAAGGTGAGAGCAGGACAGATGCATGTCTTTCTGTTCTACAGCCTGTTGATTGGGAAAAGGGTGTCTCCAGTAATATGGGTTCAGTACTCTTGCATTCCCACAACTGTCAGTTTCTGGAGGACAGATGAGATTTTTCTTTCTGATGACTTATTTTTCTTCTTTAACTAGGAGCACCTCCTGCTTTCCTTTTTAACCTGCTCCCTCCCAGTGACTGAATCCTGATCATAGTCATTTCTCTTACTTCACAGGAAGAATTCAGTGGAGTGATAGGAATTTAGCTGCTGGATCAAAAATGCTTCAAGCTAGTCCATGACCTACCGTTAAACACTAATTACGGCATCTAGTCTACACAGAATCTGAGTGGAGCAACTTGTAAATGGAAGTTACACAAGTATTGGGATTTCTATCAAAGAGATTAAAATAAAACATCGTTGCTTAGTCTTCACTCAAGCAATATGAAAACAAAGTGCATAAGATCTGCCCACATTAAGAACAATATGAACTGCTTAGGTTTGACAGAGTTACTGCTTCTAGGGGATCTCTCAGGACCAGCCTGACTAATTTTTCATGTCTTACATATGTCCTGCCCTGCCATTTCCTTCAAGCAGTCAATGAATCATCATTAGCAGAGTGTCTCTGCTCACTACTGGTTTTCCTCACACAGATTCTGGATGCTTTGTGCTCAAAAACTGTTTGTGTATGGTAGCTGTGTTCAAAGCATATGCATAACAGCAGGTTTCTCCACTTACTGGATTTGGATGGCAACAGAGTTTAGGTGGAAGTACCTTGCCGCTGAGACTGGGGAACTCCTGAACAAGACAAAGTACAGGGTTGTAGGAGTATCAATAAATCATCTTATGAATTTTAGAAGTCCAGTGGGTTTTCTTATTCAGCTGTAAAACTCTGTAAGGGATTATTTTCACTAACTTGGTAGAGAACAAAAAAAACTGTGAGAAAAGCCTAGCTGGCATTTTGATGTGTTTTGTTATACTAAGGAGGCCTAGGTTGAGCTCTTGAAGTTCAAAATAATTTACACTTGTAATTCCTTTTTTTTCCCATGTTCACTCATGTAGAACAGAGCCTTTTTTGAAACATTAATTTTTGCTTTTAGTAAAGAATTCTAGTCCTGATTTAGCAGTATATTGCTCTTGGTGGTATTCTCTTATCTTCTTGTTGCTTGGTGTTTGTTCACCAAGTTAAGCTGTATTTATATATAATGCTTCTGTAAAACATATCAGTATGTCAATATGAAAAGAGACAACATGCTACTGGAAGTAATGACAAAAAAGTGCTTTTAAAATCTATTTTTTTCTTTTCATTCTCACCTCTATCTTAATAGACATCACCAGAATGTATAAAACAGTCATAAGACTTTCTCTAAAACAGAGATAACTATAGAGCATACCTGTCAGAGGGTAACTGTGCCTCAGCAAGTTTGACTACGGTAGGAAATATATCCATGTTACTTGTTGGCTCATCAATATAGGCACCAGCCTTTATCACTCCAGGCCAACGCAGAAGCCCTGGCACACGAATACCTCCTTCCCAGTTCATTGATTTTCCACCTGAAAGATGAAAGTATTGTTTCCTAAGAAATCAATTTCTTCTTAGAAAAGTACCCCTCCTGCAAGTTTGAATTTCCAAATATTAAATGTTCTGTCCAGCTAGAATTTTTTCATTAAATGTATTTAGCTTATTTTTAATTTGCTAGGTTTAGATTTTCCACCTATAATCAGTACCTTTCTCTCAGTAAATCTACTAATATGTATTAGACAGAGCATATAAAACATACTTAGTTCACAAACAAAATTAAATAACAGCTGCAAGAGATAAAGAGGTACCTTGCAGGAATCTTCATATAGAATTTGGTCTAGATAGTGTGCCACAAAGCTATGTGAAGATATAACCAAAAAACAGGAATCAAAAAAAGTTGAGGTATGCCTCGATGTCTGAGGTATGAACCCAGAGAAGATATGTGATATTTTATTAAAAATGATGCTTAATGGCTTTAGATAGAACAAAGTACTAATTTAAGGATGTTACTGAATTCTCCAATTCAATGCATTAGGAAGAATTTCGTTACAGTGATGGTAGATCTCAGGATGCTGTGAAGAACTTTTTGACTTCTAAACCAACACAGTTGCATCAAACACACTATCAGCTGATTGCATTCAACACTACATTGCAGCCATTTCCTTTCTTTCTACTTTATCCATCACTACCCAGTCCTCCCAACATCTTTGCATAAGGGCAATGTGTTTATTCTATGACAACTTTTCTACTGTTATGTAATATATGATTGACACAACTCTGTATGAAGAGCTATCACAAGTATTATTATTAACGTCTTACACAGTCATGTGACTATGTGCAGCATTTCAGGTTGATCTTTGAAATTAATATATCATTTGGAAAAAATATTTCTGGTAAACAGACAGGTTATGGATGTGGTTAAGCATGGTCTGGGCCAGGCATTTACAACTAAATTGAGATTGTTTTATATAATAGAAATGTCTGAAAGAAGAGCAATATATGTGTTGAACCCTTATCATTAACTGAATCAAACAGCAATTCATGGTTCAAACAAAATTATTATGAGCCTATTTTTCATGCATCTCCCTTTTTCAAGTAAAAAAAAAAAACACAAAAGAACAAAATATTACAACAAAGTACTTCAATAGTTCTGTCTCCTCAGCCTCTTAGACCTTCGAAGCATCACACAGATGTTAGTATCTTCAGTGTCAAGCCTTGCCATACACGCTGTCCATCTTACTGACTCCCCAATGATCTTTTCTACTTCAGAACACAGTTTTTCTACAGGTTTTTCACTGTTCAAAAAGGTAAGCAGCAACTTCAAGAGAGAAAACTCTGTTTTGCATAGATTTTTATTCATTACATACTCAAGACATACACAGTCTTGTGGCTAAAAAAAACTTTAGCTCATGATTCTTTGTTATAATAGATTTTTGCTTACTTTTTTCACAGACTTTATCAGAATTCATAATATTGAATAGTCAGGGACACATAATTATCTAGTCTGACATCAGAGAACTTAGATTTTCTAATACCCAAAATTACATTAAGCAATAATCTCTGCTTAAGCTGTTTTTGGAAAGCAGGGCCAAGTTAAGATCTCAACAAGACTATCTGTCTTTTAGAGCAGTCTTAAAAATTTACTCCTGTCACTCTGTCAAATGCAATTCCATTCTCAGGATAAAGTGCGTGGCTACTGATTCTAAAACTCAGGAAGCAGGTGTATGGATTATTTTTGGTTACATTCTTGTAACAAATAGGATTTTCAAAATTCTAAAGAAAATGTAGATTTAAGTTTATAAAGGTGTTATATAGTGAGGTTTAAAATGTCTGACACCTAGCAGAAGGAAGCATTCACCCAACAGTATGCTGATCAGTTGTTAATACCGTTGGGTCAAGACCAGTGTAGGTGTCAATAGACCGTGCACCTTCAGTAGAAAAGATTACTGTATCCAGGTACAACAGTCATTGGGATTTTAAAAGTTTGGTGGGGATTATGTGTTACCGAGCACGAAAGCGTCAAGATTAGTATCCTGACTGAGCTATGGCTCACAGAAAATCCTGTTGAGCAGGAGTAGTTAAACTGAATGAAAATACAAGAAAAGTATAAGGACATAAAATTACAGATATCCTCAAATTAAGATATTTTCAGTGAACAGTTATAGCAGGTAGATGATTTAATCCATGAGACAGATCCTAGCTCTAGCATCACACATCACAGCAGATTGTTAGCTGGACAGTACGGACAGACAAAAAACTCTAAGAGCTGATCTATACCATAGATAGCTTTAAGTGTGAGGTTCCTTTTATTTCTGTATACCTGTCTGAACCTAGTAACAGTGTTAGGTAGATTGGATTGCTTAAATAAATTCTTATTTTACTGTTGCCTCCTGTGTAATCTGAAGACAGAGCAATTTCAAGGTAAGTGGTGAATTCCATTCCCACACATGGTGCAATTCTTAAAACCTAGATATTGGATTGCTCTCACTTCTCCCAGGTTCACAGTACAATTTTCTCGAATCACTACAGAACAGGACAGAAAACTTGCACATTACCCAAGCACAAAGGGAGCACTCGGCAAACTCTGCCTCTCTGCTGTGAGGTACAAAAAGCAAAATGGACTCCACAGCAGGGCTGTCTCCTCACTTATGTGTATGAAGCTGTGACTGCTGTTTTCCTTTCAAAAGACTAATTGGAGGATAATTTTTTGATATCTCTGGAGGTTAGGAATAGCAGGGAACCAGGGCAGGAATTACAGGTCATTGCGGAAGACTGTCTTCTATTATCTATGCCTACATAGTGTTCATTAGAACTGTGTTTAGTGACATCAGTAGAGTTGCTTAATGCCATTATATGATTACAAATCCCTTGACAGACATTGTCTTTAAAACTCTAGCTGTTAAACATTGTTCAAGCTATCTGCATTGTTTTTCCCTTAAAAAATAAATCAGGGTTTCACTACTAATGCTTGAAACATGAAGCAAACATCCAAATGGCTAAAATATTAGAAAGAAAATAAAAAATCCACAAAAGGTCATTATTTAAAAATAAAAACTCTTGATATTTCAGGATCTGACTCGTTAGTTTGGTATTTTGCTTGGACTTGACAACAGTGAAACAGAGAAAAGGCATCAACCTAGCAGTCTGTATGCCTGGCAAACTCTAGGCAGCCTAGCTATGTATTATCCTGTTCTGTTCAATTCTTCTAAAAATGTTTTTAAAACAGCACAAAACACCCCAGGCTATATTTTCATGCCTAGCTCTCTATGCTTGCTGAGTAGTTGTACCCTTCAGTGTTATATTGAACAATAGCCTACATTCACCTTTCCTGAAAAATCTGCAGGAGCAGGCAAAGTACAGACATAACTCTCTGCAGTCATCCACAACCTGATGTCACATTTCCATTGTAACCTTATTTCAAATCTTAGCTAAAAGAATATAACTTTTTTTTCTCCCTCTGGTTTAAATTGACTGCTATTACCTAACTCTGGCAATAGAGCTTTTACAAAGGATGATATATAAAGGGGAACTCTGTCGCATATCATTATTAATATTTTGAATGATGAATGATGAAAATTATTTAAAATAACTCTCTTAGATCACTTGGATTATAATCATACTACCCTTTCCTTCCTTCTTATATTCTTCTAAAATCGAAGCTTCTAAACCTAATTTATTCTCTTGAATGACAGAAAAATACAAGCAAATTAATTATTCTACCCATCTGTAGTGGACCTTATGCTACAAATATCGACAATCAAAACTGGTACTATTGCTTACCTTGTAAAATTATCAAACAACAATTTATTTTCAATGGCAAGCTCACTCTTTATGTTACTGATTTTTAATCTGTTTCATGTACTGCTTTTGTAATTTTCAACCTGAGCTGTTCTTGTACAGGTGAATGTAATAGAAATAGCTCATTTGGACATCTTCTCATCTGAGCTTTCTTCCAATCAAATGAAATGGTCTCTCGGGATATGTTTTGTTTCAGTCAAAATTACAAGATGGGTTGATTATTTAAAAATCTGGATCACTTCAGAGAGAATACAAAAATATAATACATTTGAAAAAAAGGTCAATTC